TTATTGTTGCTAACTAAATATCTATCCGATCCAATAAAACACATCAGTTAGCGTAGTCACTATATCAAAGTTAACAGAGTCCGGAACAAGAATTCTAGACCAAGACCCAAATAACGAATCCAAGNCTAATCCATCAGATCGTGATCTAATAGAACGGTCAGCTCTGTGACCTTAAGGAAATAAAACTAACCCCATAATGTCAACCCAAAAATAAAACCTCTCCATCAAGAAACCTTCATCAATAGATTCGATTGTACCATATAACCACAAAGCTCTCCCAAATCAAATCAAACCAGTAACCTCACAACACAATTCACAACAATTGTTGGTGCCACCAGCCGGGAACATGTCCACTATAATAATCAAAGGAATACAACTGACAATTGTAAAACTAGAAAATCTTCTCGAAGAAGTCAATGGAATGGATCTGACACCGTGGGATCAAATGCTGACTCGAGAAGAAATTCGTCAACAACATAAGCCAGAAAAAGAATTATCGAAGAGAAGATAATGGGCCTCGAGCTACATGTGAGCATACTTGAAAACGCCAATGTTGGATGGAAACAATACATCCAACTGTCCATTCCATCAAAGAAACAAATGGAAGAAAACAAATACGCTCAGATGGTCGACAGCCAAAGAGGTGTTTTAAATTTAATAAGTGAAAGAAAAGAAGTTATAATAACTTTAAAAATGAATAAAAATGACTCTTAGTATTCTAACGTCGAAGTTAAGGAATGAAAGAAGACAAACTAATTCATCAACAAGAATCAATCCAACTGGCAATTCATCCAACAATGAGATTGCCTCAACTACCACTATTCACATTTAGTGGTAACCCAAAATTATGGAAAGGATTTTGAAGTAGTTTTGATGCCGCAGTGCATCTACAAAGTATTCCAGATATACAAAAACTAAATTATTTGACAGCATGTCTAAAAGGAGACGCGCTACAGGTCACAAGGGGTTACGATATAACCCCGGAGAATTATGACGTTATCAGAAAAGTTTTGGTTGAAAAATATGGGCAATCACATACGATCAAAAAATTGCTGTATATCGAATTACATTTCATTAAGAAAAGACAAGGAATAAAAGGTAACAGTCGAACAATTGAAAAAATACTTCGAAACTAGTAGGCAGAAAACTTGGAGCAATCAAGTATCGAGATCTCGAACAATTGAAAAAATACTTCGAAACTAGAAGCTAGGCAGAAAACTTGGAGCAATCAAGTATCGAGATCATAATCAAAAGCAGATTGCCGGTTTGAATTTTAGATAAAATATGCCAACAAAGGAACAAGAATTATGGTTTGTCAACAAACTTCGACACTTCCTTGGAAAACTCGTACTAAGAAGTGAAGTATCCAGAAGCCAGTCTTTGCATACTAGAAAGAAACAAATCCCGGCTAAAAGTAAGTCAAAATCTTACTTCCGGTATAATCCAGATGAGATTTCGGCTTTAGCCATAATTACGCCAAAGGTTAATGACACAAATTTGAATCCAGAAAAGGCTTTCTTGCAATTGGAATGACTTCAGAACGGAACTGCACACGATTTCTTTGACTAAAGAATTTCCAAGATCAGGTAGTGAAGATAATCTAGTTTGTTATGATTTACAAGGTTCCGTTCGGAGTAATATCATCTCCATTTCTCTTATCTGCAACTCTCGATTATTACTTAGAAAACTGTGGAACTAAAACTGCTCGCGAAATCAGAAAAAACTTATACGTTGACAACATTATCCTATCAGCCAACGAAGTAGAGGAAGCCTTAAACAATTATGCAGAGACAAAGTCAATTTTCGCCAACGCTTCAATGAATGAGAAAATTCTTCTCAAACAATGAAGAATTTAATTCACGAATTCCCGAGCAGGATCTCGCAGAAGTAAGTTCGACAAAGAAATTACTTGAAATCACATGTAATCCGCGCAAAGATCTTATAGAAATATTGGTGAATCCATGGAATAAACAAGAAACAACGAAAAGGACCATTCTGAGCTTTACTGTCTCTCAATATGATGCATTGGGATTCTTAATCCCAGTAATGATACCATTCAAACTGTTCCTTCAAGATTTGTGGAGAAAAAATGCACCTTGGGATCAGGTTTTGAACGAGGAACAAACTAAAACGTGTCCTTATAACAACTTGGCCAACAGGAATTATGGAGATCCCACGAGTTGCAATCGACCCAACACAACAGATCAATTTCCATGTATTTACTAACGCATCAGCTGCTACATGTGCAACTGCAGTATACGCTAATAATCAAGGTACCGAAACATCCTTAATTTTCATCAAATCTCGTATAGCTTCTATTAAGGACATGACAATGCCAAAACTAGAACTATTGACGATCCTGATCCGAGCGTGCGCAACTCAATTCGTCATCAAACAACTGGAGCAAGAGAACGCAAAGGTAGTACTCTGGTCAAACTCTCGTTTGCACTTCACTGGATACAAAACCAGTCACGTCTTGTACAAAATCGAGTCGAAGAAATACGAATGGCGAAGTTCTCATATATGTATGACTATAACCCGGTGAACATCGCTACTAAAGGAATATCACCATCTCAACTCATAAACTACAAACCTTGATGGACTGAACCAGTATAGCTCAAACGGAGGAATCAAAATGGTCTCATTGGGAATACGATATCCCACAAGAAGACGACAAAGACGAAAGTGAGGACGAAATGATAATGGCAACAATAAAGCTAGAAAATGCCATGAATGAAACACATATTAGCTAGTGGACGCGAGCTGATTCAGTAGATGGTCACAAATGATACGAACAACGGTAAGAGCGTTAAAATTTCTCGAAATAATAGCCAAGGGAAAACTTCCATGGTTAAACAGTATATCTGAAGAAAACTTAATTACGCCATACGACTATGGATTCGCTCTAGAACTACTACTGAGGTAAGCTTAGTCCGAGGGTCTATCGTAGAAAAAATAAAGAAACACAATCTATATTATGCACACGGATTCTGGAGGTAAGAGTAGACTACAATTCCCGAACGAAGGCGAATATATATGTTACATCATATATCTCCCTAGACGTAACCGAATAACAGAGGTCATCTATTCAACACTATCATGAAGATATGCATTATGCAGATATTTCACATACAATTTCCAAATTAACAAAAACTTATTGGATACCAAAGGGAAGAACAGAAGTCAAGAGAGTCCTAAACCAATGCATGGGTTGCAAACGGTGGAAAACCAAGCCATTCAAATTACCACCCATGTCAAACTATCCACGAAAGCGAATCATGAGATCAAGAGCGTTCGCCCGAATCGGCCTCGACTATCTAGGACCTGTCACCGTCAAAACAGTTAGAAATGGCAAAGAGAGGGTTGCCTTATTCACTTGTTTCACTATTAGAGTAATACATTTAGAGTTGACAGACGATCTATCCGCAGAAAGTTTTCTAACAGTACTAAGAAGATTTGTAGCGCGCCGTGGGTATTCCGAATTCATTCTGTCGGATAACGCCAGTCAATTCCAATTGGTATACCAAACCATAAAAAAACAAGAATCGCAGCTTCCTCGCAAGAAAAGGAATAACATGGAAAAATATAACACCCAAAGCACCATGGAGTGTGGAATCTACGAAAGAATAATCGGCTTAACAAAGATTACCTTGAGAAGAGCTATTGGAGAAGATTACTGAATGAAAAGGAACTAATGACATTAACATTAGAAATAGGAAGCATACTCAACATCCGTCCTTTAATTCATGTAAATTTCGACGATTCAATCATTTTACGATCAACAGATTTCAGACAATGATACTAATCAAGAATTTATTCCCCATAAATTAAATACCCAGGAAAAACTTATTAAACACTGGTCAAGTACATGTGAGCATTTAAATAGTTTAAGAGAACGGACACAACTAGAACACAAATCTTGCAAGAATGTAGGAAGGAGAACTCCTATAGAGGTAGTGTTATTAGATGAGCCTCAAATACCGAGAGGCGTGTGGAAATTAGCAAGAATAAAAAAACTGAGTACCGATAGAAATATCAGAAGCGCACTAATCGAACTCTCTTCAAAGAAACTCCTAAATCAACCAGTGAACGCTCTATGTCCTCTAGAAATGTCTCGAGCGGCTGCGTGAGCGAGATTATAGAACAAGAAAGCCAACCGATGTTGAACAAAATTGAAAGTGGAGAGCCAATTACCCACAGAACTAGAAGTGCAGCAAGGGAAACACAAATTGCAACTGAAACAAGTAATGATGAACCTGTTGCTCTCCGGACGAGGAATTAGGAGTCTTGGGAACGAAGGAGTGAAAATGGACATCTGGTATACCATTCAACATACCAGAAAAATGGAGTTGCGGAATTACCAAACCCCAGAACGTCACACCAATCAAACTAACAGTGTATGCACGTACTCATACACGAATACCAACTATCAAATGCTATAACATCACTCAGACGGTGCGCACTAAAGCACTTCTCAGAATATCATTATCCGTAGTAGTTTCTGATATAACAACCATTTCCGCGGTAACCACGTATCGTACATCAGCAAAAGAAATCGAAAACCTCTTACAAACTCCAATTTTTTCCTAAAAATCACACCCTCTCCCTTGGGAATGTCGGGAAAGCCGAAATTAATTCCTAACTGTAATCAAGTAATTTTATTTCTTTTAAAGAATTGTATAATCGGATGATTGACAATTTGATAGGATTTGAAGATTCATCATCCGTGAGAAATGTGAATGAGCTTTACATCGTTCTTTGTTAGTAATTAACAAATTCTCACCATAGAAACTTTTTGTTATCCACATGTCCATTTACATATTTCTTTCCCATGATTCTTAACATTTTTCTCTAAATCATTCCGTTCCATAACTATTGCAGCTAATCCAATTGTATCATAACATGCCCATTAATCACATCCTGTTTAAGAATTCAAATATCCCAAATTTTCACAACGATCATGACTGTTATTATTGTTGGCTTCAATTCTCACCTTATCCTTATCTGAATCACTGTAACCTCTTCGACCAAATAAATCGTTACACAAAGTCTTCAGCAGATTAACAATTCAGCTAATCAGTCGACAAACCACCTTAAACAAATCAATTCAAATTTTCACGACAGAGAGGACCTAACTGGCTGATAAAAGAAGAATCAGAATGGCCAAGATGGGAATATAACTATGATGAGGAAGACAATGAATCGGAAGATATAGTAGACGAAACGATCGTAGCAACGGTCACCACCATCGAGGAACGATTTAGCAAATGGTCAACATTGGTGAGAACGACAGTTTGGTATTAAAATTCATAGCCTTAATATCGAAGGAAAAACCTCCTAAAACATAAGTAACCGAAATAAGAAGTGAACTCACCCAATATGACCATCAAGCGATAATGACATTTTAGACTGGTCTAATCAGAAGGAATAGCATCAGAGGAAATAAAGAGATGGAAGCTATGAAGACAACGAATTGTGGAATCTAACAATGGACTAGGAAATGCGGACTTAGGACGAGCAAGTTTACAACCTATCTACCTTCCCAAACGCAATCGTATCACGGAACTCCCCATACAAAACTACATGAGGATATACACCACGCTGGAATTGGGCATACGATTGTGGAAATAAGAATCAGTGTTTGGATATCAAGCGGTAGAGCAGAAGTCAAGAAGGTATTAAATAAATGTATGGGTTGTAAACGATGGAGAGCGAAATCATTCAAGCTCCCTCCGATGCCTAGTTATCGGAAGCTCGAGTAACAAAGTCAAGAACATTTGCTCGAACTGGCCTAGACTATTTGGGCCCCATCTCCTTCAAAACAACAACCGGAACAGTAAAAATATGGATCGCCTTATTTACCTGCTTTATCACCAGAGCAGTACATCTTGAATTAGTTGACGATCTATTTGCTCAGAGCTTTCTACATGTCCTCAGAAGATTCGTAGCTCGACGCGGTTATCCCGAACTAATACTAAGTGACAATACAAAAGTCACTTTCAGTTAATTTTCCAAACCATCGTGGAACAAGCAAGAAACAAAACCAACTGAATTCCTCAGTAAAACAGGGATGAAATGGAAGAATATAATTCCAAAGGCTCCCTGGAGCGGAGGAATTTACGAAAGAATAATCGGTCTAAGAGGACATTAAGAAGAGCAATAGGCAGAAGGCTACTAACGGAGAGAGACATGGTAACATTGTAGTGGAAATAGAAGGTATACTTAATACCCGTCCACTAACCAATGTAAACTTCGACAATTCCATAATTCTACGACCAATCGACTTCATAACCCCTAACACTTCCCTGGCAATACCCATCAATGAGGAGCGCGACAGGGATGGGTACGTTCCTTACCAGCTAAATTCCCATGAAAAATTTCTCAATTACTGGTCGAATACAAAAAAAGTACTCATAATTTTTGGAAAATGTGGAAGAACGAATATTTTAGCTAGCTTAAGTGAACGTACAGAGACGGAACACTGGTCACCAAGAAGTGTAGAAAAAGAGCTCCCAACGAATAAGTTGTCCCGGTCAGTGAACAGAATGCTCCTTGGGGTACGTGGAAACTTGCTCGGATAAAAAAACTCAATATAGATCGAGACAAAGAAATGTGAAGTGCTGTGATAAAACTACGAAGTCAGAAACTTCTCAATTGACCTATAAAAACCTTCTATATCCATTAGAAGTCGGGCAAGAAGAAAGGACAGCCTTTGAGTCAGCGGCTGCAAGAAAACAACGAGGTTCAATCAAGAAAATTGAAGAACCTGTAGCGGTATGAACTCGGAGTGCTATAAGTTAAAATTTTACACTCATTTAATTAATAAGGATGAATCAAATTTATCTTCCCAAAAGGATAATTTCTACTATATATCTCAAATTCTTCCTCCTCAAAATATTGATTCTTTCAGTCGGGAATGTCGGAAATCCGAAATTAATCCATAATATAAAATTATTACAAATTAAATTCATGAGAAATATTTCTTAGTAAAATATATAAATTTATTTTGTCAATTAAACTGAGGAAGCTGCATTTCACAATTTGTCGTTATTAAATTTAATTTCTTGTCATATGACTTCATATTGTGTTGCTATAATTCATTAAGAGATTGCTTTATAAC